AGACTACCTGAGCTTGAATCCTGGCTCTGTCAGGTACTAGCCATGACACTTTGGGAAAGTTAACAACTTCTCTGTGCCCCAGTTTTATCAGTTTTTAAATGAAGCTAACAGTAGCACCTACCTCATAGAAGTGTTGTGAGAGTTAAATGAGTTAATATTTGTAAACTTCTTAGAAAGGTGCCTGGCATACACTAGGCACTATATGTGTTTGTTATATAAAACACAGAAGCATTGTTACAGAGATTAAAATAATACTCCCAGGTTGGGGCTGGCCCAGTGGCGCAAGCGGTTAAGTGCGCACGCTCTGCTGCTGCAGCCTGGAGTTCGCCGGTTCAGATCCTGGGCACGTACTGATGCACTGCTTGGCAAGCCGTGCTGTGGCAGCGTCCCATATAAAGTGGAGGAAGATGGGCACGGACGTTAGCCCAGGGCCAGTCTTCCTCAGCAAAAAAAGAGGAGGATTGGCAGATATTAGCATAGGGCTGATCTCCTCACCAAAAAAAAAAAAAAAAAAAAAAATACTCCCAGGCAACAATTAAGGGAGAAGAAGAGTTGGAGTATTGGGGAGACCTTAGAGAAGGTCAACATGTAGCCATTAATGAGAGTGGAAATAAGGAAGTGTATTGTTGCTTAACTGCTACCTAAACTCCCTTGCTACTTTAGGATTCTTCAAATAAACATTTCTTGTTTTTTTTTTGGCACTAGCTAACCTTCCCCTCTTCTCCTCCCATTCACTGCATTCTAGATCAATAAGTGGGAGTGGAACCTCCCAGAATATTGCAGGCATGGAAGGGTGACTAAAGGTAGCTGTACCCTGGGGCACCCAAAAGAGAGACGGTTATAACCAGTTATACTGAGTGAAGGAAATAGAGGGCAAAGATGAAGCAAAAGGTTGAGCAGCCACAAGTTTTGTGTCTTTCTTCTCGAGGATGGAAATTCCTTGATCAGGAGATTTTAAAAAAAGGAACCTACCACTTCCATACAATAGTATACTATTTTCTGCTGGATTTTTTACTGCCTATCATCTTTATTGAGATTTGGGTTGACTTGAATCTACTTTTTCAAAACAAACAAAAACACACACAAATTCTCAAAACAGAGATGGGATCCTGGCCAACCATTTGTTTTATCACCACTCCCCTCTACTAGCACATAATCAGAAATTGAGTATAACACAAGAAATACGGGTATATAGACAGCTCCACCAACATCAGTCCCCCGACTGATTGCTTATACCTCTTTCGTTTCCAGCTTCCACATAGATGAGCCTAGTTACCCTCAAACTTGCAAATTCATCCCTCTCCAAGATTCAAGACAAGAAAGGTTTGATTCAGGAAATACCTGAGTAGCCTAGCACTGACCTTTGTGCATCTGCTGTGAAGACACTATGGCTGCTTTGTTGGTTACGATATTGATTTCCAGGGCTGAGCAGGCTGACAAGATGGGTCTTTACTCCCTCCTACTGGAGTCTTGTGTTATCATAGGGATGCAGCGTCCTGGCCTCTATTTGGAAACTGGATTTTCCAGCTGATGTCCTGATATCCAGTGTTCCTCATTCATGATATTACTTTTCCATTTCTATAACTGAGCTGCTGCTTTTGAGGCTTTTCTGAGTGTCTGTGGTAGTAGTCTGCTCAAATCTCTTTCTAGAACAGAGGCTTTGTTTTCATCTTAAAGGCTCCTATCTGCAAGGATTTTGGACTAGTGGCAAATTGGCTCTTGCCAGGACTCTTCTCCAGGTGTGAAATCCTGTATCTAACCCCCAGAATGATGGTTGGGGCCTACTTATTCACAGACAGATATCCAGATGAGCCCACTCATTTTTTGGACTTCTAAGTATTAACTGTTGGAATGCCCCACGACTGTGTTCTAGATTCAACAGGACATCAAGACTTTGTTGATACTGGACCCTTGTTTGTCTTGAAAAAGCTAATTCAAGTCAACCCAAATCGTATCGATGAGGATGGTACTTGAACCATGTCGGAATATGGTATTTTCCTTGGGTATTCCGCCTTGCTGGCCTGCCTAAACTTTTGTTATTGACAAAAGCCTGCTCACCAAACCCCACCCTCCTCTACAGGTGGGTGTAGAGACAGGCCCAGGCCTCTGACTAATCCTATCTTGTTGAGAATAAATCACTACTTTTCACTAAATATTCCCGCAATGTGATAACTATCAATAGTAAGGACAGTATTTTATTCCACTTCAGCATCAAAGTTGGTGGAGGCAGCATTGCTCAGTGGTTAAATCTAAAGACACTGGAGTTCAAATCCTACTTCCTCTATTTTTTGGTTAAGTGACCTCTAATTTTCTGCATCTCAATGTTTTTATCTGTAAAATTGAAATATATTAATAGTACCCATCTCATAGAGCATTCTGAGGATTAAACAAAATAATAAATGTAGGCTACTTAGAGTAATGCCAGACATGTAGTGATTGTTCCATAAATGGTTAGTTATTACTATTATTGGTGGGAGATAGGAGAAGGGAGCAAGGGGAAGTGTTGAAGAAACAGGCCAGAAAGATGTGGAGAAAAGGAAGAATTAAAAGAATGTAAGAGAGAACATGTAGAGAGAAATGGGCATGGAGCAAATGTGGTAGACTCATTCTGTCTTCTACCCCAGAGAGTGGGTGGCTACTTGGAGGGACAGTCAGAGTCACAGTGATCACAAGTCCTGATGAGCAAGTTGAAATCAGAGCATGACTATGAATCTCGGTTCTTAGAGAAAACTTTTCCAATATGGAAGAGTCACGAGTTCACACACTCAAGACTTCTCTTATTTCAGTGATTTCAAGGGAAAATGGGGATTTCTAATCTTCTTTTCCACTGCTCCTCAGCTGCTTCCATTGCTCTGAATTCCAGGGAAGTGCATAAAATCAGTGTTAACTTCTAAGCCTAATGCTGAATATAAGGGACCACGTTTGCCAGAAAGAGCAGCAGGAGGAATTTAGAGTATATTTCTGCACTCAGGAAATGTTTGTGAAATAATCTTTATGAGATGAACAGATCCATTCAGCAAAGACAAATGATACATGAAAGTACTTCTGGTTTTACTTTTATAAAAACAAGCCCCTACATTTCATGGATCCCTGACAAAATAAACATCTTACCCCTGGTTTCCTCTCCTAGAGCCCCAACGGCCCACACCTCAGCTCAAACTCCCACCACCTTTTCTCCTGCTCCTGTTCCTTGGACCATCCCAAATGGAAGAGCCTTGTCTAGGATCTCTGTGCAATAAAGCCTTAGCTCTTCCTAATATCACGTGACAAGTGAATGTGAAAAACAACAGCAGCATTAGCTAATATATGTTAAGCACTTACTATATTCAGGTACTGCGCCAAGTGTTGCACATGAATTATCATTTTGCTTCTCAAAACAATCCTATTGTACTGATAGATTCCCCATTTTGAAGTCGAAACAACAGGGAGAGCTTATGTGACTTCCCCAAAGTCACAAATCTGGTGGATAAGTGATTCACTACTAGCTGATTGACAACTTTGACTTCAGTTTCAGTAGATGAGGCAAGTGTATATTAGAGCTGCCTTTTATCTTAGCATGTGTTAGCCCTTTGAAGAGCATCAAGGATCTGAAAACTTAAAGAGTGAGGAGGTCAGAAAGAGTGTAGAGCAGACAGAGCTATAGCCTTGGGGTGAGAAGAACCAATGTCCATTTCCAGCTCTACCAATTTCTGGTTGTGAAACTTCAGGTGAATTCTTTAACCAGAATCTTAGTTTATGCTTTTTTTTTGTTTGCATGATGAGATTAATAATATCTATCTTGCTTATTTCAATGGTTTTAGTATGGATAACACAAAAATGTAGGCATAAAAATTGTAGAATGCTTTGCAAAGTAAGTATTATCAAATGCCAACCTGTCCATCCCTTTTCTGGAAGATTGGGGACATCCCTAGATTTCCACTTAGGTTCTATCCAACTCTTTTCCCCGTCTACTTGCATTTTCTATCTGCCGTGTCAGAGTGAATAGCATAGGCTCCAAAAACTTGGCCTGCCTAGTGGTTGCAATCTCCGTGAAGATCAAAATAAAGGAACCACAGCTTTAAATGGTTCAGAACCAGAGAGACCAAGGTGCATTGACTCCACCTTTCAGGAAATCCTAACTCACTAGATTCTCTGTGTCCTAACTCATGCCAGGAATTTGGTAGTGCATTTTCAGAGCAGGCAAGTGATATGTTAAGTAGATTTAGAAATGCCAAACATAGTCAATTTTTATATAAATAAGGCAATTGCTTAGATTTAGTGAGATGATATATGCAGTGACAAAACCCTCCCAGAGCTACTTTAATGTCACATAGTTATCTTTGTACTAACAACCAATATTCATTTTGTCCTTTACAGTTTACTGCTAAGCCATAAGTAAGAAAAACAGCCTTAGTTCAAGTTCTCCATTTCTTTTTTGAGACCTAACTTATTTGTAAAATAGGGATAATAATCTCTTTCCCATTTATTTCTGCGAGCTTTTGGAGGATACAGCAGAGGAATAGCTCTGAATGTGCTTTGAAAATAAGGGGAGCTTATAGAGATGAAGTTTTTACAATGATAATTATAGTCATGCATTACTCTAATCTGCTGGAGAAATAAAATAGAATTGCAGATGGCATAGCTCTGTAAAAACTATATAACCAAAACTATATATAACCAAAAACTATATATGCCAAAAAGAAATTGCTTTTGAGCTATTTAAGGTTTTGGATTATTTCTTCTTGCCAGGATTTCTGGGTGGGTCTACCAAGTGCTGACTCTCCTGAGCAGAAGAGTTTGTCTCAGACCTTTGGAGACTGGACACAGACAAAATTCAGAAATATAAACTCTAAAGCTGAAAAATAGTTAGGTTTAAATCTTAAGTCTTTCCCCAGCCAGTTGGATCTCTTTTGGGACCCCCTTTTAAAACAGATCAAAAGGGAATTTCAATGTCTTCCTTAAGGGCAATTTCTAAAACTTAATAGAAAACTAGGAGGGGATCAGCAAGGGTCAGAACTCACAGGTTTGCAGGCAAAGGAGCAAGATCCCTAGGCGGTGCTGAGCCATCTTCTCCCAGAGAATAATCTGTAGACAACAACGGCACTCTTCAAGCAGAGTCAGTTTCACTCTAGTTTCCTTGCTTCTTTTTATAGCCTTCTTTAAGAAAGGAAGTTGTGAGTTAACTGTTTAGGAAATGTTTGTCTATGTATTAGGATGGTAGTTTTTTCCCTACTACGTAACATAAGGTGCCTAGCATTAATTAGTTATTTATCCAACAAATATTTATGGAATGCCTACTATGTGCCAGGTACTATTCTGGGCACTGGCAATATAAAGAGCAACAAAGCAGTTGATCTCCCTCCTTTCATGGAGCTCATGATACTGAACCTCTTAATCTCAAGTTCATGCACCCAATGTGCAGTAAGCCAAACACTGAGACATTGGTGCTAGGAGATGGAGAAAGATTTATTCGAATTGGCCAAAACAAGAAGGTGAGAGCATGGGTTCACTCAAATCTGCCTTCCCAAGAGCAGAAAGCAGGGGAGTTTTATAGAGCTAAGGGGCTTGGCAAGAGGAGATTTGGAGAAACAAAGGGGTCATTCCTGATAAGCCCTTGGGCAATCTGACTTCTGGGCTTCAAGGGCTGCTGGGGGCCAGCCATCTGGTGATAGCAACCTTTCCAAAGGCATTCTCTTTCTTCTGCAAAACAAGCTCACAAATCTTCTGCAAAACAAGCTCACAAATCCTCGAGACCCCTGAGTCCCCTCTCAAGTTAAACAGGAAAACAGCAAATTGCTTATTGAACATCTACAGAACCCTCAGGTACTTGACTTTACTCATACTCTTGTTGGGGAGATCAACAATTAAACAGGCAGTTCCAATACGGTGTGATAAATGTTGCAAGAGAGAAAATATGGGGAACTGGGAGAGCAGCAGGGGCATCTAACCAAGGCTAGGAGAGTGTGGGGAAAGCTTCATGAAGGAACTGAGAACTAAGCTGAGACAGATCTGAAGAGTAAGTTAGCATTATTAGGAGAAATGTGGTGGGGGAGAGGGAATAGGAAGAATGTGTTGACACGATAGGAGCTTAACAAATAGTAGCAACCAATATTGCATAATTATAGTTATATATAATAGTATATAATAGGATTACATATATATCTACTATATATAGTTATATAATAATAATTACGTAATTATTATATAATTAATATTATTATACTATGGTTGAGCTAGGTGTAACATAGGACTGTTCTCTAGTAGAGGCCCCCCTACTACCGATTAGAAGAAAAACAAGGGCCTTGTTTGTGAGGGGTGTCAGGGAGTGGTGATGGGAATAAACATTTGGGTCCAGAGGTCAAGCAGTTTGAATTTGGACCCAGCTGTTTTGAGGAGTGCTAAGAAAGCTAAGGATAGACCCTGAGACTTGGGGAATGAAGATTGTATACAGCCTTTCCCACTGGGAAAAGTCCTGAGCCAGCTAGCACATTTCTAGGCAACCTGAGCCTCCAGAGTCACTTACTGAACAATCTTGCTCATCATTCTCCATATATACTTGTTCAATATTGAATAGTTGAGTGCCTTTATGTAGATATAGTGAACTTGTTACTGGCACATTGGGTCCTTGTTGTCGCCCAGGATGGAAATCAAGAGAGACAGCAAAGGGGAGTAGAAAAGTAAAATTTTGTTAGCTTGTGCGTAGGAGAGGCACAAGGGAGCTGGTGCAGAAAGGAAAGGGACAAGTGACCAGGTTGTTAGGGAGCAAGAGTGTGGGGTTTTTATTAGGCAAATGTTGGAGAGGAGTGCCTTGTCATGGCATGTAGAGATGGCGTTGTGCTTGCGCCTGCGCTGTTGTGTAGCATGCTACTACATGCGACGCATGTATCATTATCATGCTAGCTATCCACCCCTGGGTGTGATTTTTACTATGCTAATTGGGCTAAGGTCACCTTTGGTGGACTCCTGGGTGCTAGGGCGCATGCGTAAGCCTGGGAAAGTCCCAAAACTGCAGAATGTGGATCTTGATGGTCTCTATCTGATTCTCCTAGCTTGTGGATTGGTTATGGGCCTTATCTTGTTAAGCCAGGGCCGTGCAGATGGCCCTGTCTCGTTAGGTTCCTGTCTTAAACTGGGCAGCCGTTTGGGACCAAAGAAGGATTGAAAATAAAAATGGAATTTCCCAAATTAATTATTTCTTTTCACAAGATTCAACCATATTACTTTCAATATTTTTAGCAAGCAAGTATTCCTGAAATATGTAATTACTATGTGTGCAAAAATACACGTCTATCACATCTGAGTTCCACAGAGAGGAGGAAAGAAGAAAGAATATGCAGTTGCCAAGAGTTGCTGAAAACCTGACTTTGTATTCTCTTTTTGGCTTCTTCATTCTCTGTAGGAACGCTCCTCCTTCCTTTGTCATCTAAAACTCTTGCTTGGTCTCATGTCTATGTCTTGAGAAATCCTAGATTGCTATCTTACTCAAGCCCTTATCTCCTGTTGAGCCTGGACCAGTGTCTTATCTCTGTCTTTCAGCCTTAGATTGCCAGACAATTAGTGTATTTTTATCAAGAAGATACTCGCTTTTAAGACTTCTTCTATTGATATGATGTAGAAGGATATGAAAGTCTTTTCATTCCGTGGTAACAACAAGAAAGCCAAAATAAAAATCATACTGTTCTATGGGATATATAATGAATGGTGTATGCAAAAAACCCTTGATGGATGGAATTCCAGAAAGAAACGTGCCCTTTGTAGATGAGCAGAGAGCCAAATAGCTCAAGATCTGGAGCAGGAGACTGGTTTGGGATACAGACCAACAGAAGAGAGAGACTGCCATAGACAGAAACTTTGAGAAGAAGGACAAATTAGATGAAACTTAGGTGACAGTGTGGGCTGGTGGGACAGACTGGAATCTGGAAGAGCCTTCAATGGAAAAACTAATGGTTTTGCCCAACAACTCCCATGCCTTCCAGAATTTTCCTAAGAAAGTGGCATGAGAAGGGACTAGAAAGCAGAGACAAATTTTATGGTACCGAATATTTCACAATTATTAGATTCTGGAGTTTAATATAAAAGTAAACCAAAAATACTACAGCCCAACTTCCCCACCTCAAATATTGGTAAGATCTAAAAGGCAGTGGTGGTGAAGGAGTTTGGAGGTTAGACAAATTAAAGGTGAACTCAATCTAATTAAAGCTGTGGCTTTATCCCAGCTCAATTTAATTCTAAGGTGAATATTAATGATCATCTCTCTCAGACTGCCAGGCAGAGGGAAGGGATTACATTGCCAGGTAAATAAATAAAGTAAAACAAAACAAAACATCTCATACCTGAACATGTACTATTCTTTTATATACAACTATTAGAATACAATAAAAATTATGGGAATTTTTAAGAAGCATGAAAATGTGATTCATAATTAGGAGAAAGCTAAATCAATAGAAGCAGACCACAGATGACCTGGTTTGGGAAATAGTAGACAAAGACTTTAAAACAACTATTATAAATATTTTGAAGAATTTACAGGAAAATGTGTTGAAAGGTTGGAGAGATGGGATGTTTCTGGAGAGAAATGAGAACTCCAAAGAAGAACCAACTGGAAATTCTAAAATGTAAAGATATAATATCTGAAACAAAAATTAATTAGATAGACAACATCAGAATAGGCACTGCAGAAGAAAGAGTCAGTGAAATTGAAGACAATAAAAACTATTCAAATTGAAGTAGAAAGGGGATCAAAAACACAAAATATTTATGGATAAATGTGACAAATATAAATCTGACAAAAGACACTGAAAACTAGAAAGGTTAGCTCAGAGAAATTAAATATAACCTACCAATAAATGGAGAGGAATACTTGTTGATGAGTTGGAAGATTCATCAATAGTGTTGATCAATATCAGTATTGTTAAGATGTCAATTTTCAGTTGATCTATAGATTCAACACAATCTCACTCAAAATCCCAGCAGGCTTTTTTTTTTTTTAAACATTCCATACAGTTGTTTTATTTAGTATATAAATTTCTTAGTATGGATAAAATAAAATACTGTAATTGTATCAAACGAGTAAGAATTACAAACATGTAGACCCTACTATAGCCTAAATCTTCAAAACCATTGTGATAATTACTATACAATGCTGAGAAAACCTGTGGCAAAAACTAAAATTAAAACTAGTTTCTGAAATATTTGCATTATGCCTTTTATTTAGGCAGTTATTTTATTCTTTCTGTTATTATTTTTTTAAACAATTTTTTCTCTTTTTTTTGGTGGGAACATTTAAGTTCTACTCTCTAAGTAAATTTCAGTTATATAATACAGTGTTATCAGCTATAGTCACCATGTTTTACATCAGCTCATGAGACCTTATTAATATTATGGCTGAAAGTTTATCAGCATTTTTCCAATCTCTCCCTATTTCTCCCACCACCTGGCCCCTGGCAACCACTTTTCTACTGTTTCTATGAGTTTGACTTTTTTTTTTTTTTTTTAGATTCCACATATAAGTGATATCATATAGTATTTATCTTTTTCTATCTGACTTTTCTCACTTAGCATACCTCCCTCAAGATCCATCCATGTTGTCAAATGGCAGAATTCCCTTCTTTCTCAATGGAATAATATTCCATTGTATATATACATGCCACATCTTCTTTATCCACTCATTCATTGGTGGTCATGTAGATTGTTTCCGTATCTTGGCTATTGTGAATAATGCTGCAATGAACACGGGAGTGCAGATATCACATCAACATCCTGTTTTCATCTCTTTTGGATATATATCCAGAAGGGGAATTGCAGGATCATATGGTAGTTCTATTTTTAATTTTTTGAGGAACCTTCATACTATTTTCCATAGTGGCTGCACCAATTTACATTCACACCAACAGTGCACAAGGGTTCTCTTTTCTCCACATCCTTGCCAACACTTATCTCTTGTCTTTTTGATGATAACTAGTCTAACAAATGTAAGGTGATATCTCATTGTGGTCTTGATTTGCATTTCCCAGATAATTAGTGATGCTGAGCATCTTTTTATGTACCTGTTGGCCATTTGTATGTCTTCTTTGTATAAATGTCTATTTGGTTCCTCTGCCCATTTTTTCAATGGATTGTTTGTCTTTTTGCTATTGAGTTGTATGAGTTCTTTATATATTTTGGATATTAACCCTTTATCATATATGTGGTTTGCAAATATTTTCTCCCACTCCTTAGATTGCCTTTGCATTTTGTTGATGGTGTCCTTTTCTGTGCAGAAGGACAACATCTTTTTACTTCGATGCAGTTCAACTTGTTGATTTTTTTCTTTTGTTGCCTTTGCTTTTGGTGTCAAATCCAAAAAATCATTGCCAAGATTGATGTCAAGGAGCTTTCTGCCTACGTTTTCTTCTTTCAGGTCTTAGGTTTTTAACCCATTTTGAGTTGATTTTTGTATATGGGTTAAGACAGGAGTCCAGTTTCATTCTTTTGCATGAGAATATCCAGTTTTCCCAACATCATTTATTGAAGAGACTATCCTTTCTCTGTTGTATATTCTTGGCTCCTTTTTCGTAAATTAATTGGCAATATGTTGGCCATAAGTTTATCTCTGGGCTCTCTATTCTGCTCCATTAATCTATGTGTCTGATTATTTTTGCCAATACCATACTGTTTTGATTACTATAGCTTTGTAATATAGTTTGAAATCAGGAAGTGTGATGTCTTTAGCTTTGTTCTTCTTTCTCAAGATTGCTTTGGCTATTGAGGATCTTTCATGGTTCCATATATATTTTAGAATTGTTTTTTCTATTTCCATGAAAAATGCCATTGGAATTTTCATAGAGATTGCATTTAACCTGCAGATTGCTTGAGTAGTAGGGACATTTTAACAAGATTAATTCTTCCAATCCATGTGCATGGAATCTCTTTCCGTTTATTTGTGTCTTCTTCAATTTTTTTCATGATTGTCATAGTTTTTGTGTACAGATCTTTCAGCCCTTGGTTAAATCTAGTTCTAGGTATTTTATTCTTTTTGATGCAATTGTAAATGGAGTTGTTTTCTTAATTTCTCTTTCCGATAGTTTTTTATTACTGTATAGAAATGCAAATGATTTTGTATACTTCAACTTTACTAAATTTGCTTATTAGTTCTAGCAGTTTTTGGTGGAGTTTTTATGGTTTTCTATATATAATTTCATGTCACCTGCAAATAGAGACAATGTTACTTCTTCCTTTCAAATTTGGATGCCTTTTATCTCTTTTTCTTATCTAATTGCTCTGGCTAAGTCTTTCAATACTATGCTGAATAAAAGTGATGAGAGTGATTATCCTTGTCTTGTTTCTGATCTTAGAGAAAAAGCTTTCAGCCTTTCACTGTTAGTAAGATGCTAGCTGTGGGCTTGTCATATATGGCCTTTATTATGTTGAGGTACATTCCCTCTATGCCCCATTTATTGGAGTTTTTTTTTTATCATGAATGGATATTGGATCTTATCACATGCTTTTTCTGCAACTACTGAGATGATCATACGATTTTTATTTTTTATTCAAATTGATTGATTTGTGGATATTGAACCATCCTTGCATTTCAGATCCCGTTTGATTCTGGAGTATAATCCCTGCTAATATTTTGTTGAGGATTTTGGCATCTATGTTCATCAATGGTATTGGCCTGTAATTTTCTTTTCTTGTAGTGTCCTTGTCTAGTTTTGGTAACAGAGTAATGCAGGTCTCGTAAAATGAGTTTGGAAGTGTTTCCTCCTATTCTACTTTTTGGAGGAGTTTGAGAAGAATTGATATTAATTATTCTTTAAATGTTGTTGTAATTCACCAGTGAAGTCATTTGGTCCTGGGGTTTTCTATTATGGAAGGTTTTTGATCACTGACCCAATCTCCTTACTCATTATTGGTCTATTCAGACTTTCTATTTCTTCAAGATTCAGTCTTGTAAGCTGTATGTTTCTAGGATGTTATGCATTTCTTCTAGTCTTTCTAATTTGTTGTTGTATAATTAGTTTATAACCAGCAGGATTTTTAAGAGAAATTGACTAGCTGATTCTAAAATTCATACGGAAATACAAGGAGCCTAAATAGGCAAAACAACTATGAAAAAGAAGGTCAAAGTTGGAAAGCTATCACTACCTGATGTCAACAATTATAAATTTTAGATTTTATTAGTGTAGACTTAAAGACAAATAGATCAATGGCATAGACTAGAGAGTCCAGAAATAGACTCTCACATATATGGACAAATGAGTTTTGACAAAAGTACAGAGGCAATAAGGTGCAGAAAAGAGAGCTTTTTCCACGAATGGTATTAGAACAATTGAATATCCATATGCAAAAAAATAATAATAATAAAATAAAGAAAGAAAGAAGGAAAGAAAAGATTAAAAAAAAGAAAGAAAAGGAAGAGAACAGGAACTTTTATTCATACTTACTCAAAATGGATTATGGGCCTAAAGGTAAAACTTAAAATGATAAAGTTTCTAGAAGAAAATATAGGAGAAAATATTTGTAAATTATTTGTGATCTTGAGGTAGACAAAGATTTTTTTGATACAACACCAAAAGTACAATCCATAAAAGAACAAATTGATAAATTAGACCTCATCAAAATTAAGAACTTCTGCTTTCCAAAAGACAGTGTTAAGAAAATGAAAAGACAAACCACAGACTGGGAGAGAATTTTTGCAAACTATATATATGATAAAGGACTTGTATCCCAAATGTATAGAGAGCTCTCAAAACTCAATAATAAGAAAACAAACAACCCAATAAAATAAGTGGGTAAAGATTTGAATAGACAGTTCACCAAAGAAGATATAAGGTTGGCAAATAAGCAAATGAAAAGATGCTCATTATTAGCAATTCAGTAATCTAATTAAAACCACAATAAGATACCTCTACATATCTTTTAAAATGGCTAAAATTAAAAAGACTCACTGTGATGGTTAATTTTATGTGTCACCTTGACTGGGCCATGGGATGCTCAGATATCTGGTTAAAAGTTATTTCTGAGTGTGTTTTGAGAAGAGATTGGATTTGAATTGGTGGACTGAATGAACAGATTGCCCTCCCCAATGTGGGTGGGCATCACCCAATCTGCTGAGGGCCTGAATAGAACAAAAAGGCAGAGGAAGGTTGAATTGGCTCTCTCTGCCTAACTGCTTGAGCTGAAACATTCATTGGTCTTCTACCCTTGGACTGGGGATTACACCATCAGTGTTCCTGGTTCTCAGGCCTTCAGACTTGGACAGGAGTTTACACCACTGGCTTTTCTGCCAGTGTTCTCCAGCTTGCAGGCAGCAGATTGCAGGACTTTCAGCCTGCATAATCATGTGAGTCAATTCCTTATAATAAGTCTCATTCCAGCTATATTTGTATGTATTCTATTGGTTCTCTTTTTCTGTTGAACCCTGACTAATACTCTCACCATACCAAATGTTGGCAAGGATGTGGGGGAACTGGAACTCTTATACATTGCTGGTGTGTATGTAGGTAAAATGGTTGCTGTAGACTGAATGTTTTTGTCCCCCTAAAATTCATATGTTGAAACCTAACCCCAATGTGATAGTTTTAGGAGGTGGGGGCTATGGAAAGTGATTTGGTCATGAAGGTAGAACCCTCATGAATGGGATTAGTGCCCTTATAAAAGAGGCTTCAGAGCACTTCCTTTCCTCTTCCACTATGTGAGAACACAGCAAAAAGACAGTGATCTGTGAACCAGGAATTGAGGCCTCATCAGACACCAAATCTTCCGGCACCTTGATCTTAGACTTCCCAGCCTCCAGAACTGTGAGAAATAAATTTGTCTATAAGCCACCTAGTTTATGGTATTTTGTTGTAGTAGTCTGAGTAGATTATGACAATGGTACAACCACTTTAGAAAACAGTGACAATTTCTTAAAAAGTTAAACTACACCTACCATATAATTCAGCTATTCCATTTCTAGGTATTTATGAAAGGAAAATGAAAGCATACGTCTATACAAAGACTTGTGCATTAATGTTCATTGCAACTTTATCTGTAATAGCCCCAAACTGAAAACAATCCAAATGTCTATCAAAAGGTGAATAGATAAACAAATTGTGTTATGTTCATATGATAGAATCCTACTCAGCAGGAAAAAGGAATGAACTATTAAAACAGCATAAGACAACATGCATGAATCACAGCATAATTATGCCAGTGAAAGAAGTCAGACACAAAATATATTCTAAGTTCCAGTTATAAAAAATTTTAGAAAATGCGAACTTATCTACAGGGACAGAAAGCAGAAAAATGGTTACCTGGTTGGAGGGAGGGGTGGAATGGGTGAGTGGGGTGACAAAACATGAAAAAAACTTTTGGCAGTGATGGATGTGTTTGTTATCTTGAGTGTAGTAATTGCTTCATGGTGTTTACATATGTAAAAAGCGTATATATACACATATTTAAGTAAAGAGTTTTTGGAGTCTTCTACACCTGTTCCCTTGAGTAGTGAGCAACTTGGGTACCTGAAACTCAATTTACACTATGTTCAATCTATGTTGTAAGTATGCAGATTTGACTGAATATCTCCAAAATGTCATACTCTCAATATAACTATTGGACATTTTAAATAATTTGTTTCATCTCTCCTTGGAAAACGGTGGATGGTGCATCATCTAGTGATTCCAAATTTTCTTCAGTTTCCTTGATTATTGCTTCTTTTCTGGCCTCTCTACTTGTTCTTCCTGAAATTCCTATTCAAATTTCTGAAGCTATCCTCCACATGGCTGAATTAACATCTCCCAATTTTCTCTTTTGGGAGAAAACCCAGCCCTGGTTGTCTAGTGGTTAAGATTTGGCATTCTCACCGTCCTGGCCCAGATTCATTTCCTGGTCAGCGAACCACACCACCCGTCTGTCGGTTGTCATACCGTGGTGGCTGCGTGTTGCTGTGATGCTGAAAGCTACGCCAGCAGTGTTTCAAATACCAGCAGGATCACCCATGGTGGACATGTTTTAGCAGATCTTTCAGACTAAGACAGACTAGGAACAAAGTCCTGGCCACCCACTTCCAAAAAAATTGGCCAGGAAAATTGTGTGAATAGCAGTGGAGCATTGTCTGATATAGCCCCAGAAGGTGAGAGGATGGTGCAAAAAAGACTCAGCAGAGTTCCGCTCTACTGTACACATGGTTGCTAGGAGTCGGAACCGACTGGAAGGCACTAACAAAATTTTCTCTGTCTTTTTGTTTTATATTTTGATAGAATTCCTTATGGATATCTTGAGGAATGTCTTCCAAACATGGTTTTTAGCCATGTACCTGTTGCTCTTCAGCTTTTTGCTTGAGTTTTAAATTTCGGTAATATGTTTTAATTTCCAAGAGTCTTTTCTTAGCCTCCAGTTGCACGTGATAGTTGATTTATGATTATCTATAATTTCATGTTTGGGAAAATTCTACACTACAGAAAGTGTAGATTAAGAAAACAAAACATAAGGATGAAACCCTGTGGGAAACGACTATGATTGGAAGAGAAGGAAACTGAGAAAGAATTATTAAAGTGGTCAGAGGAAAACAGAAGAGGTGATGTCATGCGAAATTCAAGCAAGGAAGGGTTTGCACACGAAAGGAGTGTTGAAACATTTTAAATTCTGTAGACAATTAAAAGAAATTGAAATCCTTCTAATTACGAAATTGAAATTGAAAAAAAATGGAAATTCTGCAATTTTTTAAATATTGGAAGCAAAAGTTAGGTGCTAAGAAAGAAATAAACCAAATAGCCAAATAGCAGAAAAAAGGTCCAAACCCGTTTCCCTCTGTGGCCATAGCTTTGAACTTCACAATAAAACTGTCAGGATGGAAGAAAAAGGAGGATATCACAATTTAAATGAGAAACAAAGCAAAAGTTGTAAGATAGCAATGTTACGCAGGTAGATAAAGGCATGGAGAAAATGGAGGACTATTGCCCCACCCCTGGGCTATGTACCCCATCAGGGTTCTTAACCATTCTAGGCCTTGGTTTCCTCATCCATAAAATAAGGAAACCACAATAGTACTTTAAGCTTGCTTTGAGGATTCAATGAGAATGTTTGTAAACACTTAGCAAAGTGCTTGGCACATTGTAAGCTTTCAGTAAATGTTAGTTCTTAATATTAGCATCACTAATAAAAGAATAAGAAATAGCATACCATTTGAACAACATTAATGATCTGGAAAATTGTCCACCAGAAGGCAACTGATGGTAAAAGATCAGGCACTGATAACAATAAGAAAGATATTTGTTGGTGCCAATGAGTCATTCCAACTCCTAGCGACCCTGTGTACAGCAGAGCAGAACCCTGCCCAATGTTTGTGCACCATCATCTCACCTTCCAGTGCTATATCAGACAATGCTCCACGCTATTCAGAGGACTTTCATGGCCAATTTCTTTGGGAGTGGGTGGCCAGGTCCTCTTCCTTGTCTGTCTTAGTCTGGAAGCTTCACTGAAATCTGTCCACCATGGGTGACCCCGCTGGTATTTGAAATACTGGTGGCCTAGCTTTCTGCATCACAGCAACACACAGCCGCCACAGTATGTCAACTGACAGACAAGCGGTTTGACTCCTTGACTGGGAAATGAACCCCAGCTGCAAAGGTGAGAGCGCCAAATCTTAACCACTAGACCACCAAGAAAGAAATAATTGTCATTTACTGAGTGCCAAGTTTGTATCCAGGACTCTGTTAAACACTTTCATATAAGAAACAGTTGAAGGAATTGGGGTTGATTAGCCTAGAAAAAAGGAAATCTGCTGAGGAGGCTGGGATGAAGGCAGGAGTAGGACAGTGTGATAATTATGGCCAGATATTTGAAATGCTGTAGTTTGGACAATGGAGTCAAGGTGTCTCCATGAGGCAGAACTAGTTGCCATGGATCTTGTTCCAGGAAAGCCAACTTCAGTTCAGCATAAATATTTCTCCCCCTAACAACTGTAGTCATTCCACAAGAGACAGAAGAGTTCAAGCCAAGACTGCTTGGACCTCTGATATGGCTGTTATTGTGGGAATTTCTCATTATGTGATTGAATCTTGAATGCCCCCAAACAAAAATTTTGAAATTCTGTTTTCATCTTAAGAAATCCTCCCAGCTACTTAGTGTGTAGGCCCATGAACTTATAGGTTGTTTACTAGATTTTGTTTTTCTGGCTGGCTTAAAAACACCAGCAGCCACAGCATGTGGGTAACCTGACATGATAAATATCAATGGGGGAGGGGATAAATTCTGCAACAATTTTGATATTCTCAGCACGCAAGCTGCATTGAAAGGAAAGAATCATTTTTATTTCAACATGTGGAAATCTCTTTTGGGGTCATGAAAAATAAAGAAGCTTGTGTTTAACTGTTGATCAGAGAGAGCATGAAACAGCGAAAGCTTAATAGCACTCTCTCCAGTTATTTGGAGAAAACCATGAGGAGAACTGTAAGCCCTCTATACTCACATACACACACCAGTGCACATACTCCTTAAGTTATTTGCTCAGAGCCTATTATTAGCACCTAATCCATATCTTCAGTGCATAGGGAGAGGTCAGTTTTAAATACAACTCATTTTTTTCTTCCTCTTTCCTCCTCTCTCTTCCTCTTTTTTTCTCCTATTTTTTTTCAAAAAATGATTTGAAGAGAAAATAGGAGAATTAATTTAAAACAATATCAATGTGAAGGCGGCCCAGTGGCGTAGTGGTTTAGTTCACGCACTCTGCTTCAGCTGCCCAGGGTTCACAGCTTCAGATCCCGGGTGTGGACATGACACACTGCTTGTCAAGTCAGGCTGTGGCAGGTGTCCCACATATAAACTAGAGGAAGATGGGCACAGATGTTAGCCCAGGGCCAATCTTCCTCAGCAAAAAGAGGAGGATTGGCAACAGATGTTAGCTCAGGGCTAATCTTCCTCACCAAAAAAAAAAAAAAAAAAGAAAACAAAATAATAGTATTAATGTTAGTTGAAAAAATACATTCTTCTAAAAAATTCCAGTAACCTGGAATTAGGGACAGATACAGCTGAAAAACTAATGAATTCTGTGACTATGTACCAGGGATAATTATTCTATTTCTGTAACCATCTATGCTTACAAAAATGACAAATAATCACGGGAATTAAGAAGAATAAAGAAGAGAAAAACAAATACATCTACCAGAGGGACAATATGGTGGCTCTGAGTGAAAAGTCAATCTTCCCCCTTGTTCTTTGGACTCTATCTTTTTCCGTTTCTCCATCCTGCATCACCAGTTTCTACCTCATCACTGGACAGCAACATAAACACACAAATACACTTTATAACCTAATCCCAAAAGTATCATATCCCGACCTCACATCCTCTACCATATACCATCTCATTTTCTTTCCTTCGATTAAAAGCAAAACTTACTGAAATATGAGTATATTGTCATTGTCTTCATTCTCTTCCTCTACTTTCTTATTTCAGCCCTCTCCAATATGTCTCCTGAGTCCACTAAAACTCCTCCCGTCAAATTCATCAATGATCTCCACATTGTGAACTCTATTGGTCATTCTTTGTTCTCTTCTTTCTAGAATAATCATATAATTTATCATCCACATCAGGAGATGTTTGAAATTAAAAGGGACACAACTAATTAGTACTATTTGATTTTTTGAAACATTAATACATTGGATAACAGATTTTCTTATAATGGTGAACTGGTAAAACAGTTTTATAAAAAGGGAGGGTGAAAGGGGTAAAGGTGTATGGTGACGGACGACAATTAGACTTTGGGTGGTGAACACGATGCAGTCTACACAGAAATCGAAATATAATGATGTACACTTGAAATTTATATAATGTTATAAACCAATATTGTCTCAATAAAAAATTTTCAAAATGTATGTTTAACACCCTAAAAAAATTTCAAACAGAAAATTATTTCTAAAAATAGTTATAACATGTTTATGTTTATTAAGATAAAATAAAAATTTTCTTTATTACTATTTATACATTATATTTACATTATTGATCATCTGAACATCAAAAATAACATTAAAAATAACATAAATAGAATAATTATCCTTGGCACATAGTCACAGAGTTTCATTAGTTTTTCAGCTGTATCTGTCTCTAATGTGAGGTCGCTGGGTTACAATATCAGGGATGTGGTAGAGGAGATCCAAGAATTTGGCCAAGGAATGAACCTGGATTGATTGACTTTAAGGTCTCTTCCACCTTGACTATCCGTAATCTTATGAATAGAAATGTCTGGTTCATACCCCCAAAGGATCTTCTGGGGCAAGAAATTAAAATAAAAAACACCACCCTTCACTTGACTTAATGATCTTTGTTTAATTCTATTTCTCTTATTTCACTTTCTCATTTCCCAAACCATCTCACATAATCCCCTAAATCCAAATCCAGGATCCTTTTCCCACTTCTCTTTCTCCTCAGCAGCTTCTGATATAGGTGACTATTTTGTCCTCCTTGGAATCTCCTCTCTTGCCTTCTGTGACACCAAGTGGTCTTATTTATGTCCTTGGCTGTGTTTTAAATTATTCTGCTTTTTATTTTTATTTATTTTTTTGTGAGGAAGATCGGCCCTGAGCTAACATCTGCCAATCCCCCTCTTCTTGCTGAGGCAGACTGGCCCTGGGCTAACATCCATGCCCAACTTCCTCCACTCTATATGGGACGCCACCACAGCATGGCTTGCCAAGTGGTGCTTTGGTGCGCGCCCGGGATCCGAACCAGTGAACCCTGGGCCACCGCAGCAGAGCGCGTGCACTTAACTGCTTGCGCCACCGGGCCGGCCCCTATTCTGCTTTTTAAATGTGCGTACATCATTATTAATGGCCTACCTTTTTTTTTTCTCTTCCTAGTCTCAAGTTCAAAGTGTAAGTACAATGAGGGTAACTCTGATATCTTGGTTCTATTTTGTTATTCTGAGCTGCATGTCTCATGTTTGGCTACCTCCTGGAAATTTTCTACTTTATTTCCATTGTTCAAACTTTGTACCTAAAATAAGCTTACTCTCCTCACTCCTGAAGTCTGAGTTTGGTGCACCTATGTGCTTACTGAAGACCCCTGACTTCCTCTGTCGTTAGGGTGACTACCCATTCTGGTTGCCCAGCCATTGCCCCCGTGCAATTATTAATAGCATCTCTTTTTATTTTCAAATGGGTCCCCATAGATCACACGGTTGTGTACCACTTATAATATTTTAATTGCCTGTGTTCTTTGTATCTCCCACTGGATGACAAGCTCTGACACTTAGGAACTTAATAATTATTTGTTGTATGAGTGAAGCATTGAGTAGAACTAGGAGTCTTCTGTGAAATAAACTTATTGCAGTTAACTTTGATCAGTCTGTCATCAATCCACACTGGTCCTCCTTATCTCTAAGGGAAGGGGTCGACTCTCCCTCTAACCTTACAGGTTATATGAGAATCTAGCCACAGGTTCACCGAGTCTGTGACTAAAATCCACAGTCTTCAGATGCAAGAGAAGTGAGGTTGGGACGCTGGAGTGGGTTGGACTGTATTGCTACATCTCCCTCTTGTGGCTGTTGTGTGGCACTCTTCACAAACCCTTTCTGGTTATAAGTATAGCCTCTAAGTTAGTTGTTCTATAGATCTCAACCCAGATTTCATTTGGGTTTGAGGTAGGGTTTGGACATCAGTATTTTTAAAAAGCTACTCAGCTAACTTGATATTTAGATAACCTTGGGAATATTGGTAGGTGTGGGTCATGCTTAGGTGACCAAGTGGCCACTTCCAAAATATGATTTGTGATAGATCTACTTCTTGGTATATAGAAGTATATTTAGTCTACCCAAAATGACGAGGTGGCCAGTATGTTTCTAGACCAGTGGTTCTCAATTTAGTGGTTCTCCATCAGTGGGTGGGTTTTGCCCACCAGGGAAACATTTGGCAAGGTCTGGAGGCATTTTTGATTGTCATGACCAGGGACAGGGGATGTGTTATGGGCATCTGGTGGGTAGAGGCCAGGGATGTGGCTAAACATCATATAATACACAGGACAGCCCCCATGACAAACAATTATCTGGACCAAAATGTTGATAACGCTGTGGTCGAAAAACTCTGCTTTAGATTTGCTCCGCAAGTGGAATTTGGGAAGTTAAGGGAAGGCGACTACTTTGGCTGTCACAAAAATTAAACAATCCTTTAAACACAGTTCTTTTCTCTGTGTGTAGGGTGGCTCATGACTTTGGCAAAGAGGGCACAGAGCTAAGCCTTGCCCACAGTCTAGGAAAGGGACAACATCACAGCTCGTCAAAATAAATCAGCCCCCTTCAGTGTTTTGTAACTATAGCTATGGAGACACAAGGCCCTGAAACGTGGCTTGCCATATGGCTATGGTATGAATCCTCTAGGTAACACAAGACAAAAGTGCAATTTCCTTGATGGATTGTCTGTATTGTATTCAGTTCTAGGAGGTAGAAACAAAAATTTCAGGGAGAGAAGTAACTTACTGTAATCAGTGGTGTCTCAGTCAGCATAGGCTCCCTTTACCAATCACACCCCGGTTGTGTGCCTAGGGTAAGTGTCCTAAAGAGGCTTGAGACTATGCTCAGTTGTATTTCAGAACACTAGCCCCTTAAAACCGAGAATGGGTCTGTTCCTCCTGAGTTCTGCGGAATTCAGATATGCTAAGTCAAAAGAAAACAGAAGAAACACGGGGAAACCAGACTTAAAGTATCGGTTTTATTTTTTTAAGCCTGAGGAAAAGGAAAGCTCCAGCCCTCCCACAGCGCCTTTGGGGAAAACTGGAGAGTGAGAAGAGTCTAATCTGAGGAGTTCTCTGCTTTCCCGCTTGAGGCCGGGGCCTGGTGGTGCGGGACATAACGTCAGATGTCGTTTGGAGGATGGCCCAAAAGACTCCAAGACACAGCCATCCTCCCGGTGGGGTCTTGAGCCTAGGGAATTGTGAGGGGATAGCCTCTTCTTTCCCCCTTTGTTTCTGCCCTTCCATCAAGTAGAATTCAGCTTCAGGAAAAACCAAAGTGTTGGGAACTGAGCTGCTAGAACAATCTGAGTTGTAGTAAAGGAGTGAGTGCTTATAACCCCAGGGTTTACAAGTCATTGTCAGTAGCTCTCAGTTTCTGAGAACAGACAGCTAATGAACCTAAGCTTATACAACAGTGTAGTGGACCTTTTCCTTTTTTTTTTTTTTGCCTGCCCAGCACTGAATCCCACTGCCTGTGTTTGGGGAATTCCAAACCACTCTCAGGCAGAGCCCACCAACCACTCTGAAAGTGGAAGATGACAGATATTCAATTCCCAGCCTCCTTTGGAGGTAGAACATAGACATGGGACCTAGGATTGGTCATTCAGTCCCAGACTCTGAATTAGAAACTAGAGATGAAAAGATGAAGAAGGGACCCTGGAGTAGTCACTTTGGTGCAGACGGTGTAACACCAATATTGAGTTTCCAAGTCCAGCTGAGGCAGGGAGGCAGTGGTTGAGTCCAGGTCCAGTGCTGGGAGCACAATGGCTGTGCAACTGGTGCCCAGCATCATCATCCCTTGACAGGTTTTGTGATTTGGGCTGTGGTCCTAGCCACAGTCTAAGTTTCCCTTTTTCCTGCTTATTTTCAAAGTGTGGTTTTACAGAAGTTAGAAGTTATTTGGTATATCTTAGAAGTATATCTTAGAAGTTATTTGGACAAACAAACATCTTTTCAGTAGATTCCTCTTTTACATAAAAAATCCTGAGTCAGTTTCAGTTGATCGCGACTAAGAACACGATTACCAAAACTGGTGCCAGGAAATGGGATGCACCAAGCAACAGAAGCAAAATGTGAACTGATTGAATAGAGGGGGTAAGGTACAAGGCAATAAGGACCTCAGAGCTTTGAGCCGGAAAAGTTGGTGACCGTTGTTATACAGTTGTGAGATAGTTGGTGATTTCTGAAAGTGTTCACGAAGGTCATGTAAGAACCTCTCAGAAAGGAGAAGAGGGCCTGTCTGAAAGCAAAAAATACTGCTAAAGGAGGATCTTTCTGTCTGCAGACTGCAATTTAAGTTGTTAAGCATTCCATTAACTGAAGCTATTGGCTAAAATATGTTAATTTTCTACTTCAGGATAAATTTAGTGTGAGGAGAGGTATGCAGGGATTAGGAAGGGCCTGGCAGACACACTGATGATGTGAGGCCGTGGATGTAAATGGGTTCAGAATCGGGTTGGAGAGTCTTAGCTGAGGCTCCAGGATTGTTGTTCAATGGAGTAAACAGAGAACTAGGATTTAAATATCATTTTGGGAAGTGAAAAATCACCCTGGGATGAGTTATACAAGTTCCCTCGTAACAGCATCACCAAACACTTGCCACTTTTCTTTCAATCTGAACGCCATTTGCAGAGAACTATACTTTTAAGAATCTTAGATGATTTTCATTTTATTATTCAAAGCTCAGAGACCTCAAAGTCATGTTTTCAGTTTATTGACTCTTTAGCTTCTGGGTTTTGCAAATAAAATACTGACTCTATTAGCTTCTTTTATAGAATAATCTCAGAGTGTTTTACATATAATAAGGAATTCACCCTTCAATAGCCATCCAGAGAGAGAAACTGAGGCACAGAGTCTTGATCATGGCGATCGGGATCAGCTCTCAGAACCAAGTACAGGCAGCCAAAGTGTGAACCATTCCAGACTCTGTGGCTGGTGGTCAGCTGTCTGAGATAGGTATTAGATGTCCTGGCTTTCTTCCTTTGGCTTTTATTATCCATTCCCAGCAAACAGCAAGACACTTGAAGGTCTGGACCCACGGGACCCGCATTATCCACTTGGTCTGCTACACCACAGAGAAGAAAGCTCTATCAAGTAGCTCTCTGTTCTGGGCCTGTGCCCTGCAGAGCAGGCTAAGGGCCTGGGAAACCTCACTTCCATGTCCATTTCACAGGTGGATGTGGAAGAAACATCACCAGGGAGTTGATCCAAGAAGAGTACAGATGTGTGGAGTGTTGTGGGGAACTTGGGACCTGGGGCCAAGTTCAGTGTTTATTTTGGCTCCTCTATATTCCTTCAGAAAGTCCCTTCACTGAGTCTGTGGTGTCAGCTCTCTGGAAGTGTCACGCTGGCATAGACTGTGATGGAGTTTGGTTCCTGGGAGCAAAACAGAAGAAGTCTGTGAGTGGAGGGACTGGCACTGGCTTTATAGGCTACAAATGCAAACAGGGCTGCTTAGGAAAAGGAAAGGTTCTCAGAAATCATGTCGCATAGCGACTTACTTGTTCAAGGTCTGTCACAGTCGGGCATTGCTGGAAGCAGCATTCAGGTCCCCATTCTGCCTGCTCTGCCTGCAAGATGAGCTATAGCTCCCTTCTAATCATATGCATGCCATCAGGGAGATGGGGAGACCTGTCCCAGTGGTCTGAGGACCGGCACTCAGTGCCCCCACTCCCTCTTTGCTCTCTTCCCTTCCCTTGCTTTGTAAGGAAAATCACTGGTTTTGCTGTTAGCCTGGGGGCACAGTTTGAAGAAGCCAAGAGAGTTCTAAATTACTGAGCTTTATAAAGAGCTAGTGAGACCCAAAGGAGAAGGAAGAAATGGTTCAGACAGGATAGAGGAAGGGAGAGGAGATAAGGATTGTGGGCAAAGGCCTCTTAGAGGAGATTCAAGAGTCAGAGAAAGAAAGAGACAGGAATAGGTTTTGCTCTAAAATGTGTAAAATGTGCTGTAAAATGTGAAATATAACATACTGGTTTTTCTTCCCCAAGAAAACTTCATTAAGAATCTACATTACTTTTTAAAGCTTTTGAAATCATATTTATGTTTTTGCCTCCCCCTTGGATAGGACAGTGTCCTGAGAATAGACTTCAAGATGAAGACAGAGCATCCTCCTAGGCATTTCTGGGTGTGCGTACAGTAGGAGCTGTGAGGAAGAGGGGTAAATGTAGGTATTTCTGTGGCCATTTAATCCTCAATTGTCTCCTAAAATGCTTTATATAATATAGCACAACCGGAGCCAAGATTTCAGCACAGAATTTATTTCTGTTCATTTATTAAAAGGAAAGATTCCTGTCACGTAAACTTAATCCATGCGATCTTGCAATGGGGTAGAATAGATGAGGCTCATTCTGGGCTGTATGTCATATTCTGTTCTAGGCTTCACACCTATCCAGAGCTCCATTCCTAAATATTCTGATTAAATAGGGCTGGATGGAGCCTAGGTATGAGTATTTTTACAAAGCTCCCCTGGTGATTCTGTTGTGCAGCTGGACTTGAGAAGTCCTAGACTCAAGATGCAATTCCCAAACTTCAATGTGCATTAGGATCACCTGGGGGATGTTGTTTTTTAACGCGTAGATGCCTGGTTACTTGCCATAGACATTCTACTTGAGTAAATTTTAGGTGGAAGGCCCCAGGAATGTTTATTATTTATTTATTTTTGTGTGTGAGGAAGATCAGCCCTGAGCTAACATCTGTTGCCAATCCTCCTCATTTTTGCTGAGGAAGATTGGCCCTGCACCCATCTTCCTCTACTTTACATGGGTCGCCACCACAGCATGGCTTGACAAGTGGTGCATCGATCTGCGCCTGGGATTTGAACCTGCGAACCCCGGGCCGCAGAAGCAGAGCACGTGAACTTAACCACTATGCCACCGGGCCGGCCCCAGGAATCTTTATTTTTAGCAAATATGCCAGCTGATTCTGATGTGGTCCTTGGACAACTCTCAGAGAAACACTAGTGAGCAGAGAGCAAGCTGTAACCCCATGTTAGCAGCCCTGATGAGTTTCCTGGAAGTCCTGCAGCCAAGGCTGCAGATGCTCCTTGCTTTCTGCTTGCTATGGCCTGCCTTCTCCATTTCAGGACTGTTTCATTTCAGCCCTACACAGTGTCACTCTTTCCCCTCCTCCACCTATTCCCTCTCTACAGAAAAGAGGCAAGGCACAGAGAGATGCCTCACCTGGACAGGCTCTGGAACAGGCTCTGTGGCGGCAACGTAAATGGTGGTGCAGGGATCCTGAGCTGGTGGGGGATCAGATTTCTTCTGAACAGACTATAAGAGAAGCAAAGAAAACAGGAGATTAGCTGGGCAGAGAGTTATTTACCATCCAACTCTCCCCAGGGAAAAGCACAGAATCAAGAAGCTTTGAGTTAGAAAGCTCCTTAGAGTCATTTGGTCCAACTTCCTTCCCAGGTGAAAATTCTCCCCCAAATTCCTTGGAAGTCAATGCTCCTGGCTTTGCTTGGACTCCCCAAGTGACATCTTAGAGCTCACAACCTCGTGAGGCAGGCTAATTCATCTTAGTACTTCCCAGATGTTTTAAACGTCCTCCTCACAGTGAACTGAAATTGATGTGACTCTTACCTGGGCAATTGAAGGGAATTGGATTTTTATAGTATTTTAGTCTCATTCATATCACCCACAACATGCAGAGTTCATTCCATTCCCACACTGTTGTTCCCGCTTTTCCTCACTCTAACATGGTTTCTCGTTACTTCTCTTTCTTGCCCAAATATTGAACTTAATAATAACAACACATATGTAAGTGTGTTAACATTTACAAAGTTCTTCACATATGTCTTCTCATTTATTTCACAACCACTCTATGTTAAATATTGTTGTTACTCACACCTTACAGATGAAGAAGCTAAAACTCAGAAAGATTTAGTACTTTCCTACTGTGCACATGCAAGAAGTATCAAAGCCAGGAGTCCCATCAAGGTCTTTTAACTCTATACAGTACGCTGTATTTAAAACACTCTGCTATATTTATACACTGTTTCTCCAAAAAGACTATCAATTCCTTGAGAAATAGCCTATATTTCTTTGCATTCCCCACAAAAAAGTGCTGGGTACATAATAAACCTCCAGTTGATGTTTGTTGATGTTACTTTGAATGAATTAAAATCCACAATACTAGGACAAAGTCAGTGTAGGGGTAAACTGAGACCACATCCCTGTAAGATGGAGATGACATAACTTGTGCCAGGAAAGTCATTCTTTCAACACGCTTTGAGAGTACTGGCGTAGGATAATGCTACTCTCCACTTTTCCTGGATAAGGAGCAAGACTTGAAACTGAAGCACATGGGTTTTAATGGGAGAGAACTTGGAATCTTGTCATCTGATGGAAGAGGTAAGGAATTGGAAAAGTTTACTGGAGGAAAGAAGATTCAAGGTGGGATATGACCCTTCTCTTCATATATTTGATGGATTGTTGTGTCGAAGAGGAATTAGATTTTTTCCATAGAGTTCTTTAGGTTTCAACCAAGTTTGGAATTTTAGGGAAATATTTTGGTTCAATATGATGAAGATCTTTCTAATAGTAAAATGTGCTCAAATGTGGGATAAATTGCCTTGGGAGGCAGTGAATTCCCCATTCCTGGAAGTGCTTGGGGCAGATCAGGGCTTCTCATACTTTGATGTGCATTTGAATTACCTGGAGATCTTGGTAGAAAGCTGGCTCTGGCTCAGATCCGGGGTGGGGCCTGAGAGTCTGCATTTCTAATAAGGTCCTAGGTGATGCTGATGCTCCTTGTTCACAGTCTATATTTGAGTAAAAAGGAGCTACCCAATACTTTGGAAGTAATATTGTAGAGGATAATTCAAGTGACAATTGGGTGATTCAAATAGATGACTTTCAAGATCCCATACAACTCGTAGATACCACATTTTCAAGAAAACTTGAATTTAAGGAAGAAGTATTTGCAATAATGAGATGGATGAAACAATTAAAATTAAAAGAATTTAATTGAGACATTTATCAACAGATGCAAGCACTGCCTGTCTTCCTGCCTGGGAGGACTTTAGTATGACCTGACTTAGAGGCATGGGGGAGAAGGTAAGTAACTTTTTTTTTTAACATTTAATTAAGAAGTTTTAGAAAGGAGAAAAAAGAATAAAGGAAATCACTCACAGTTCTATCACTTCAATACAATATGGTTAGTCTGTTGCTAGATTTCCCTTCAGGATTTTTTTATTTTTATTTATTTATTTTTTTTGTGAGGAAGATCAGCCCTGAGCTAACATCCATGCTAATCCTCCTCCTTTTGCTGAGGAAGACCGGCTCTGAGCTAACATCTATTGCCAATCTTCCTCCTTTTTTTCTTCCCCAAAGCCCCAGTAGATAGCTGTATGTCATAGCTGCACATCCTTCTAGTTGCTGTATGTGGGACGCGGCCTCAGCATGGCCGGAGAAGCGGTGCGTCAGTGCGCGCCCGGGATCTGAACCCAGGCTGCCAGTAGTGGAGTGCGAGCACTTAACCGCTAAGCCACGGGGCCGGCCCCCTTCAGGATTTTTATCTAAGCATAGGGAATTATTTAAATATATTTTTTATATATATTTAAATTATTTAAATAATTTAGCAGATTTTTGTATCTTGGTGTCTTCAGTTAGGACACAACTCCAGGGAGCATTATTTACCAGAAACTCCAGGGGCATTATTCTCACATATTCTTTGTTAATGGTCCCCGGGAATCATGCAAGGTAGAAGCCCTGATAACACCTAGAAGAGTTCCCTAAATATCTGTTAAATAATTTTCCATGTTATTATAGTCTTTAATGGTATTGATAATCATTACAAGTAAGAACAAAGGAAATGTTAATTTTTGAATTGTCCATTATAGTCTTTATATGGTATAACATAGGCATTACAAATACTAACAAAGAAAATTGTAAGGATGTGGCTAAGTCTAAATGCATATTGATATATAAAACAATAATACTTATGTTTTGTGTGTTTAAAAAATATATCTCAAATTAAAATAATGACAGAAAGGGCACATAAATCAGGAGGTGAAGTTAAAGTATTGTCGACAAAGGGAATAAATCTTAGACTTTGATAAGTCAAGGGTGCACTTTATAATTTCTAGCGTAGCCACTAAAAGAATAGAAAAAAGTTATTTGTTTACTAATCTAATAGAGAGAAAGATGGGGTAATAAAAATTAATTTAAAAAAATCCTCCCTCAAAAAAACCCCTTGCTCAGAGAGCGAAACTCCTTGCTCAGATAGCTTCACTGGTGAATTTTGCCAAATATTAAAGGGGAAAAATAACATAAATCCTGCCCAAACACTTCCAGAGAATAACAGAAAGGAAATTCACCCTGTAGTGAGTTGAATTGTGGCCCACAAAAGATAGGTCCACCCAGAATCTCAAAATGTGACCTTATTTGGAATAGGGTCTTTGCAGATGTAATTAAAGTAAGGATTTCAAACTGAGGTCATGCTGAATTAGGGTGGATCCTAAATCCAGTGATGAGTGTCCTTACAAGAGACAGAAAAGGAAAAGATACAGAGACACAGAGAGAGGAAAGTTATGTGAAGAAGGAGGCAGAAATTGGAGTTACGTAGCTACAAGCCACAAATACCAGAGTGTCTGGAGTCACCACAAGTTGGAAGAGGCAAAGAAAATTCTCCCTTAGAGCCTTCAAAGGGAGCACGGCGCTGCCAACATCTTCATTTTGGACTTCTGGCCTCCAGAACTGTTAGAGAATAAATTTTTGGTGTTTTAAGGCACCAAGTTTGTAGTAATTTGTTACAGTAGCACCAAGAAACTAACACACACCCCAGCTCATTTTGGAAGGTTGGTATCAAAACCTCAGAAGGGCATTACAAGAAAGGAAGATTACAGGCCCATTTCACTCAGAAACATAAACAGAAAAAACACCTTAGCAAAATGTCAGCATAAAATCCAGCAATATTTAAAAAGGACTAGACTAAATTGTATCTATTCTAGGAATGCAAAGTTGGTTTAATCTTCACAAATCAGTGTAGTTCAGCAGATAAATAAAAAAGATAAATTTAAGAAAAGAAAAAATTTGTAAGATTATATCAATAGATGCAGAAAGAGTGCATCTCTTTCTGTTGAAGTGTATTCAACATCAGCTCATGATAAAATGTCTTAGCAAAGCAGGAATAGAAGAGAATATTCTTAATCAGATAAGAAGGCAGCTACAAAAAACCTTCAGCAAAAATCATATTTAATGGTAAGATATTGACAGTTTTCCCTTTGAGTTTGGAACTATGCAAGGATGCCACTACTACCATTTCCATTCAGCATTGTGTGGAACATCTCAGCCAGTACAATAGGGCAAGAAAAAGGAAGAGAAATTATGTGAATTGAA